TCTGGGCACCCTGTGCCAGGGATTCACCACCTTCCCACTATCCATCTAAATCTCTCCATTTTTATTTTAAAACCTTATGGAAAGGCTGAAACATTTCCTCTTTCTCCTTCTTTAGCTCCTGCATCGCTCCAGGAATCACTGGATATCCTGACTTGGGAGGCACCCACAGGGACCATCAAGTCCAAATCCTGGCCCTGCAAAAAAACAACCCCCTGAATCCCACCCTGTACTTGGGAATGTTGTTCAAATGCTCCCGGAGCTCTGGCAGCCTTGGGAATGTGGCCATTCCCTGGGAAGCTGTTCCCACTCTTGTGTCCCCTCCCATCCTAACGAATCCTCTGTTCTGTAAAGCATCACTTTCACCTTTTCTCTGCCCAAAAGTGGCAAAACAGGACAAATTCTCAGTGCAGTTTGAAATATGAAGAATATGAGGAATATGTACAGCACTGGGGCAGCATTTCTAGGTTTCGGGGGTTGTTTGTAAATTCCTGCTCATAGTTAAAAAATCACTCACTCTTGTTCCCTTGAACCTTTCCCATGATTCTCTTTAGATCAAGGCTATTCCCAGATTTTTTTTCTAGGATCTCATAGAGTCGGTGCAGAACTGYRCTSCTGTGTCTGYMCTCAGTGCCTGAATCYTCCTTTCCCYCTCTTTATTTTCCAGGAAAGGGCARCTCTGGAGCTGCTTASATTGTGATTAGYGCCTGCAGAGTTGGTGTAGCGGCACATTAAGTTCAAAAGCCTTGAGGAAGAGGAAATTTTATTTTCCAGCATTGTGATGAAGCCCACACTAAACAGTTTTAGTGTTTTGGTCCATGGGAATGAAGGGAATTCCCTATTGAAAAGCCCTTGGAGCTGTGAGCCACAATAGGACAGTTCTGAGTACAGGAATTGTTAGAGAGCACAGGACACCCCCAGAACAGGCCATGGGAAGCAGATCTGAACACAGACAGCTGGAAATACCCCAAAAGAGGMTGTTTTGTGGTGCTGCAGGGTGTTGTAAGCTCAGTTGCTGCCAGATTGTCCCTTTTACAAGACCAAATAACCACCAGGAGAAGGGAGCAGTGACAGAACAGTGAAGGAGTGGGGTCTGCCCAGAGGTGACCAAGCTGCTCCTCTCTTCCAGAGAAGCTGTGGCTGCCCCTGGATCCCTGGAAGTGTCCAAGGCCAGGCTGGACAGGGCTTGGAGCACCCTGGAAACGGTGGAAGGTGTCCCTGCATGTCTCCAGCCTGACACCAGAAGTGTTCAGCAGTTTTCTTTGACAAATCAAGGAATTCAATACTATCAGGGCTGTTTTCTGTCCTACAGCCATCTTTGTTTCAATTAACAACAGTGATTAATCACTCTTGCCATCGGTGCATCCCAGCACTTTAATTATTCCCATGCCTAAAGAAGGATAAACAGAGCCCTCACTCTGAAAAATGGCATGAAAGCCACATGGGAACACAGTGGGAAATGTGGGAATGGGTTCTGATCCAGCCTCCAGTCTCCAGCTCAAATCCTACGTTATTATCAATAAAAATGGAATTTCACTCCAGGTGGGGCATGAGGAGTGACAAATGGATGGCAGTGGTCACAATCAGAGCTGTGTGTGCCCTCTGCCTTCTCCTCAGAGGTCAGAGAGGTGCTTGGGATGTTGAGGGAAGCAGGAGAAGACAAACCTGGGCTTTTTTATTGTGTCTTATCCCTGTGAGGAAATCTGGGCTGGAAAAGGAGAAAATGGGAAATCTCAGTCTCTCTACAAGGACAGTGCCTTCAGATCCCACAGGTGACAGGTACAGAGAAGGAGCTGGGTGACAGGTCTGGGATCATTCCCTTGAAACACAGAATTGTGGAATCTTYGGGGTTGGAAAGGACCTTAAAACTCATCCCATGGGCAGGGACAGCTTCCACCAGGAGGATGAGTGAAGGTTGGATTTCTCCAGCATCCAGCTACCTGTGATCATGGATTGCTGCTCCTCCCACCTTCCCTCCCTGATGGACTGTGCTTGGACCCCTCCCCACTTCTCATTTCCACCAGCTCCTGCTGCCCAGTTTGCACAAACATCCTCATCTTGGACTCTCCCAGCTCCCTGCTCCAGCTGGCTTGAGGATTGAGCAGACAGGGAAATGCTCTACAAAGCCCTTAATCTCTGCAGAACTAAGCCAAAATTACTTTGATGTATTGGCTTTTAAATTGCTGCCTTCAGTGCTCACGGGAGCTTTTCTTCTTATCTCCTCAGCAAAATGTGTGAGCAACTCCTGACCACCTCTTTTCTCTGCTTGAGGACTCATATTCTCCTATTTTTTTTCCTCTGAATCCTCTTACAGATGTTTTTCCCAGGTCTCTGAGCATTTCCATATCCTGTTTGTTTGCTGCTAAAGGTGCAGSGCTGCAAACAGAATCTGTCTCTGGAAAGATGGGAGGAGGAAGAAGAAATGAGCTGTGAGTTTGGACAAAAAGTGGACTTTGCCAGCTGCAGCCTGAGACATAAACGTTGAGTTCCTTCAGACTGGAAATGTTTCATTGTGATGTTCTAAACCCACAAGAGAAGCTGTGRCTGCCCMTGGATCCCTGGAAGTGTCCAAGGCCAGGTTGGATGAGGYTTGGAGCACCCTGGGACAGTRGAARGTGTCCCTGCCCATGGCAGGGGRTRRAACTAAATCATCTTTAAGGTCCTTCCAACCCAAACYATTCTGGGATTCTATAAATACAGAATTTAATAACATAATAAACATTTACATCAATGTTGTGATGCTTAAAAATTGTGTCCCATTGAATGGCTGTATTTTCATTTTGGGTGACTCCAACATATTCCCATCAAATCCACAATCCAAATGCTCCCTGAAAACCTAAATTCCCTCAGGAAAAAAAAACCAAAAAACAAAAAACCACAGCATTGAGGTGTTTTCATCAGACCTARCTGCAGCCTGGAAATGTTAAACAAACGCCTCCTTTCTCACCCTAATTATTGAACACTGGAGGTAGCAGCCAAGATTAATTCACTTTCCTGAGTTTTATGATGTTTTAAGCAAGGAGGAAAAAGTCTTTCCTTTTATTGCTTTGCTGGTCTGAACTTGCAGAAGTGATGCTTCCCCACAGTAAAGTGAGCTCTCAATTTACAAGTAGGGAAACYGAGGCACCATGCACAAACSCATCCCCAAATCCATTGAATAAATAAAGAGCAGAATGAATCAAARCCCTGAGCAGCAGCRCCCTGCCTTCATTTAGCACAGACCAKGATCAATTTGCAAATGCTCCTGATGGAAAAGACCGACTGGGTCATTTTGCAGGCCCCTGTAAGCCCAGGCTTTTTCCCTGCCATGTGTTGGAGACAAAAGTGCTTTATCCAGCCCCTACATTAAAATAATTTAAGCAGGAGGACTTCTCTCATTTCCTCTTGGGGAAACAATTCTGCAGCTGAAGAGACTGCAACATTAGGAAATATTTCCTGACGTCCACAGCTTCCAGAATCTGTTGATATATTATTAATAGAAAGGAAAATAAATATAGGTATTAATGCCAGCAGACACTGTCTGCTACTAATAGCTGTTAAAGTAATATATTCCCCTTGTTTTTAGCTCTTATTAGTCTTTTTGCAAAGGGTTACAAGACCCTTATGCATCCATTAGCCAGTCAGCCATGTGAAATTAATGTGGAGCAATTTTCATAAGCATTACTCAGAACTAATAATAATTAAGCATTATTTTCTGCTCAGATAACACAGAAAATAAAGCCTGACTTTTATGCCAAGATGGGTTTGCATTAGCTTAAGGTAGATGAATTAATTCTCATTTACAAGGCTTCTCTGCCAGCTAGCCAGAAAATATCAAGGTAATTAAAACCAATTTGTGAGGTTCTGTCCCATTGCACATTCACTGGGTTTGATCATCRCTGCAAATTGCAGGTGCTTTTGTGCAAAGGTGGGACACGAAGGGGACTTTGSTGCCTCTCTCCTTCCCCRTCGCTTCCAAGAAAAGCTGAAACCTCCTTGTGAGCAGCAGAACACGTTTKRCAAATRTGATCCAATAAAGGATCACGTGTGGGGTGAAGGATCAGCTCAGCCCCAGCCTGGGCTAGGATGTGGAGCTCTCAGCAATGCAGAAAAAACAGCTCCAATAGAGGGGGAAAAATCTCTTTCCTTTTGCTTTACCATTTACTTGCAAGGAATTAATTTGGATTAATTATAAGACTGAGAGGTTTCCATAAGCAGCATTTTCTGAATAGCTCCTAAATACTTCTCTCACCACAGAATCCTAAAATRGTTTGGGTGGGAAGGGACCTTAAAGAYCATCCCATTCCAACCCCTGCCATGGGCAGGGACACCTTCCACTATCCCACGGTGCTCCAAGCCCTGTCCAACCTGGCCTTGGACACTGCCAGGGGTCCAGAGGCAGCCACAGCTTCTCTGGGAAACCTCTTGTAGTGCCTCAGTGGTTCTGTCCCACAACTTCAACAGCACCTGAGCAGGTGCTGAGATACCTGAAAGTGCTCTTAGTAAAAACAAAATTAGTTAAAATTATACTAAAATTAATTAGCTGTAAGATACATCAGCCCAGAGTTATGCTACAACAACTGATGACAATGAGGAACATCTCATGATGATGATATGTCCATCACAGCTAATGATAAGGGAACATTTTCCTCTGGGTTTCAGCTTTTCCAGAGAAGCAGCACCCTCAGGTGTCACATCTTCACTTGGCATCTGAGCTTAGCAAACAACCAAGCCTGATGTGACCCACYAGTGTGGAAAATTGGTGTTTTCCAGAGGATTGTGACCCCTCTTGTCCAAGCCCTGCCTTATTCATTTTGTTTCTCCACCCTCAGCCTCACTCCCTCTCTCATGGTGACATCTCCTGCACATCAGTGACACAAAGCAGGTTTGCCTCAGAAAAAAAGAACAAGGTGGCAGTTCTGACTTTTATTATATTTCCCAAAATCTTCCCTCAGAGCAATCTAACTGCTATTAAAATTAAAGAGATTAATAAAAGACACCCCCGAATACCCCAAAAACACCATCTATGTGACATCCTTGGAACGAGCAATCCTGAGATGTGCTCCATTGTCCACACCCTCTGTGAAGAAAGGTTTCCCCCTTATGGCTGTTTCCTTCTCAATCCAGTCCTGGTAGGTGTAAACTGATGTTAAAATCCTGTGCTTTGGCCTTCCTCCAGTGACGATGCCGACCTGGAACCACTTCATGGTGTTCCAGTAGCTGCAGACCAGAGGGCCCCCGCTGTCCACCTGCAGCAGAAGAGAAATTACAATTGGATCAAACCTTGGGTCCCTCAGAGAAGCTGCTTCACACAGGCTGGCTGGGAAAAGCAGGCTCTGTCTCAGGTTCGTGAGGATTTGGTAAAAAAAAATGGGATTTGGATTTGAAATTT